AGCTTCCCAAAGTGTTGATTATTCTTTGGGAACCACAACTGCCAACCGTAAATTCCCCAGTTGACACAACCTCGCCGGATTCTTGTACACCGTAACCCTCGCCATTTTATTATTATCACCCAACACCACATACGCAATGCTGTACGACTCCCCTTTCTCCACCGCAAACTGCCACTCCCTCATCGTTATCAAGAACCAATTCTTCTTGTTCGACTTTGTCGCCTTCACCTCCACATATTCCTTTTCCTTCCCATCCTCTCCTTGCCCCTCCACCACAATATCGTAAGGCAATCCTGTCTCATTATTCTCGTTCACCCAATTCACGGCCCCTTCCCCTAATTTCCCCACAAAATACTCAAACGCCACATGCTCCCCGAGCCTCCCTGTAAGAATAGCCTGCTGCTTCAGGGCAGATACCTGCCCTTGCCCTCGTTCGCCACTGCCAGAATTCGAGTGGACATTAATTCTGACATTGGGAATGGTGATTTCAGCCTGCTGTTCGATTTCCAGAGTCTCGACTTCCACCGGAATACTCAGAATCTCGCCAGGTGGCGACGAGCTGGACTTTTCGAGATTCTTTTCAGGGGTGATGCTCTCGCCTTCGTTTTTCCAACAGCTGGCTGCTACTACTGTTCTTTTAGATTTGCTTCTGACAGAGTCGAAACCTGGGGCAGTTTTCCAGCCAGCTGGCGGCCAGGTTGAGTTGATTGATTCAGGCTTCATGGGTTCTGAGGGGTTTTGTTGATCAAGTACATTTTCAGAGGGTTTAGTGTCGATTGGGGAAAGAGACCACGTGAGTTCATGATTGGGGATTTTGGGCACTTTCTGGCTGTTTAAGATGAAGAATTCGATTTGGTCCTCGGTGGAGCCTGACTCGGCCATGGTTGTAATCATGTGAAGAAAATTGGCGAATTGCAGGTTTGGAGCTTGGTCTAGCAGAAGATGAGAGAGCTCCAGGAATATCGAGTGCGGGTCTGAATCACGCTTGCAGTACAAGGTGGTGTCCTGGGAAATAATAGAGGTTGAATAATAATTGATTAAATAAGCAAATGTGGTGTGATTATTAACTGATTTAGGGACACAAAATTAGAAATACTGTGAAGAAAATAAAGGGACAGGGATGAATAGACAGACAAGAAATTTACTGTTTGCCTTGAGCAATTTTGGCATTCAATTAAATTTAGTTAACACATCTTCAACTTACCATTCTATGCTCTTTATTCTTATCAATATATGAGAATGACATCAATAAGGGGAGCAATGAGTAGGGATATAAAGAATTTAGTACCTGCAGAAGGCAACTGCACTGGTGCCTTTTCTTTGATTTAAGCCCACTCTTCTTTATGACATTCCGGAAGAACAAATTCTCAACAGCAACAATCTTCAGACGCGTAATATTCTCAAAACTAGACTGCTTGAGTTCATAATATTTTTCGGGATACGCATTATGTATGTAGCGCTGAGCATAAGGAAAAACCCAATTCACGAGAGAAAAAATGGAACTAGAGTCTGCTGGACTGGAGCATATTGACTCACGAGTTACAATCTGCCAAAAGAAAAGGAGGATTAAATTGCTGAATACACATTGAATGAGTAGATAGTTACAATTTAAACAATAAAACATTAAAAAAGATCTGGAAGTACACCGTGCGTGAGGTTGATGCCTAGTTGGGAAAGCACAAACACACACATTCAATATTTCAGATTTCAAATAAGTTAGTAGCTGAATTTTCCAGGCTACAGCATGTAGCGTTAAGAAACAATTCACCCTGTCCCCAACAAATTAGAGTGCATTATTGTGAAAAGTAGTAATACATGTGTAAGCAGAAAATAATCCTCATCCATGCCCAGCATCTTCTAGGTAGTGAATTGGAAAGGAAAACAATATGAGGAAGCTGAGGCCACATTAGATCACCTTCTTAAAGAAAGAGCAGAACCAACTTGCCATGTCAAAGGAAACTTAAATTTTTCAAAAGTAAAGTAAAATTGCATATTATTTTATGTAAACTAATGAAATGGCAATTAGGGTGCAGACATTCAAGGAGATAAAACCCCAAATATTAGTAATATACTTTTTATGCTTTAGTACAAGATGAAATGAAAATTATAAAAATAAAAAATAAAAAAATAAATAAAAAAAATAAAAAATAAATAAAAAAACGATATGGAGGACGCAGCTACTGAAAGTTACATAATAAAACAATAGGTTGGACCTTTTTTCAAACCAAAAATAACATAGATAAATAATAGCAAAGACAAAGATATTGAACCGATTCCCAAATCGACTCTAAATCCCACATGGGCCTTTTTTTTTCGAACATTCGCTATTTTCTTGTTCGATTAGTTTACATGGAAAAATTGACATTGACGTAAACCATCAGAAACTTGGCATTATTACAAAATTATTTTCATCCTTGAATGCTATTAATATAAAATGGTAAATATTCAAGTGACAGGTCATGAATATGAAAGTATGCAAATGATGAGTGATTAACATGTAAAAGAAAAGCAACAAATACGAACATGAAATTCTTCATCAGCCACTTGCATATTGAAAGACAGCTTACATATTCATCCTTCAAACTGAAATACGATGCATACACAAGTGACTGGTGATGAATATACCTTGTAACTTCCATAGTCATCACATTCATTATGGGACCTATTTTTCATCATGGATCTAGGTTCATCATATATGGATTAGTTGAGGCAGCAAAGGGCCCATAAACTAAGTCATGCGGTTAAATATTTCAAGGTAGAATTGAAAAAACTTTGTTAACAAATGTACAAAATAAAAGAATAAGGTCGGCTGAATTGGGAACTTCAAACAACGTCAAGTTTAAGCTCACTATAAACCTATGCGCCCCTTCCTCACAAAAAGAAAAGAAAAGGAAAGTTAGATTGTAATACTTGCATCAATTAAACTTCTTTTATTTGTTTTCTCAGTGTTATGATATGATACACTACAAGGTCACAAATTATATCAACAAATATCAAATAAATTAATAGCAGATTTACTTTCTTACTCATAATTTATGTGGTTTATGTAGGTAATTCAATAATTTAGCTTCACTTTTACATAAATAGATAATTTAGATTTAGTTTGCTGAGTCAAGCGTACCCAGAATTATTAATTAAGGGTACATTTGGGATATATAACTAAATGCTTGCTAAGTAGAAGTTGATCCGACATTCGTATCCAGAATATTTAACTAAGGGTACATTTGAGAATGTATAACTACATGAATGCTAAATAAAAGCTTATCCTACATTTGTGGGATAGACAAAATATTATGAAATGTGGACTCTTTTTCCATTCCCGGAGGAAGTATAACTTAAAGCCATTAAAATAGAAGTGTAACAATTAAAGTTGGCGGGAGTTGACACCGATGTTTGAGCTTGCACTCCAGTTGTGCCTTCAGTTGAGCAGGCCAACTAAGATTGTGAGTCAGCTCATTCCATGTATCCAATATATGGATGAAATTTATATAAAGAAAACAAATGAACTAAAAGAAGAAAAGGAAACATAAGAAATGTGTTTCAAGTAAGAACTGCTGGGTAAAGGTTAACATTCAAAGAAGAAATGAGCCGTTGTAAAAGAAATTAAAAATAAAGTAAATTGGACCGTTCAAAACCATGCAGTGTTGCATAAAAGAACTTCATCCAATAAATACTATAATTGTAAGGAAATACACTACTATGAAAATAAATGTGATAATAGAGAAGAAAAACACCGGAAAATCTTTATTTGAAAATGTTGAAGTTATGTTTGCCCCACATCAATTAGATACTGGGTTGTTATTGTGTACGTGTAGGCTAGGCACCCTCTCCCTTTGTGGTAGCTTCTAGGGATGAGTTCTACTTAGACCTATATATCATTGGTTTGGCTTACTACACATTAGAGCAGGTGTTAGAAGTTAAGTTTGTCCCACATCGATTTGCTACTGAGAAGTTACTGTGCATAAGTGTGGGTTGGGCACTCTATCCCTTTGAGCTAGCTTTTAAGGGTGAGTTCTACTCAGGCCCATCTATTAGAAAAGAATAGGCACAAAAAATTTTTGTCTAATAGTAGAAGTGGAAGTATGTGGGAAAAAAATGAATTTCAAATTATACTATAAAAAACAAAAGAGGCAAATGTTAACATAATTGCAGATAAATATTCAAAACTTCATTATTGCTACAAAATTGCTGATTTATAAATTTAAATTCAACAAACCCAGAAAAAAGATTAAAAATATGTCAAGAGCCACTTAAACGGTAAAATTTAAGGTTCACTATCCAAATTAAAAGCAGTTAGAAGGTGGATCCTGATTCTATTAAATCTTTACATGTAAAGTAACAAATTAAACCATTTATGTCGACAATAATTTTCTTTTCAGTAATCAGTGTCAGAAAGAACATAGCATGAATCGGATTAATCCTGCATGTATTTGTGAAATCTTTCTATCAAACTTTCAATTCCAAATTTTTATATTATTTTTGGAAAAGTATACATTACCAGCTAAATGCAACAGTTAACATCAAGTACGAACTCTTAGCATTAACTAGTTAACAAAATGAGTTGTGCTGTAAAAAAAACACTTGCATGAAAATAAGTTTGATGTGCTACTACAATATGAACTCTAATTAGTAAAACATTAACTGAAATATATTTGGTATACTACAATATAAAAACTTTGGAATGGCATGTAAAATTATAGATGAAACAACATATGTTATTAAAGACTGAACATAACAATTGACGTCTACGAACAGAACCCATTCCAATGGCAACTTTCAATAAAGAGGAGCAGAAAATAATAGATAAATCTCTTGCAAATGCAAAGAACAACATCATGCAATAATATTCAGGTAATTTTTATCATTTTCTGTATTCAACTTATTCACTGTGTTCCTCATTCAAGCAAGCAAGGGCCAAACAAGATGCATCAACAGAAAAGTTAAAGTGGAAGCTTAAATACATGATGATAAGTGGACTGTTTCTATAAAAGATGTTCATGTCCATGTGTAACAAATAATCAAGTAGGACCATAACTACTATACGCACCAGCATATGTAAGCATATATATGCGTACATATAAAACATACATAATAATGCACACAAACAGACACTCATATAATGCACGCACTTATGCAAGATCAACTTTAACAAGAAGGTTTAGGTGCGTCCTAAACTACCCATCCTAGCTTGAAATGTTTGATTATATATATATATATATATATATAAGAAGGAGGTTTAGGTGCGTCCTAAACTACCCATCATAGCTTGAAATGTTTGATATATATATATATATATATATATATATATATATTTGCACACACACACACAGATGTGTACGGATATAGATAGATAGGTAGATAAATATATTACAGAGTAGGAAACAGAGAACCTCGGACAGAGCAGGAATTCCTAGTCTTTGCATTATGGCAGAGAACTTGGACCGAAGACTCTGTTTTTCTTCTTCGGTAGATTCTCCAAAGTGAAGGAACTCAACACTATGGAGGTGTCTGAATTCCCTCCCTAAGTCGTTATCATCACACCAACAGACCACACCATATGATGGGTGTAGGGATACCCATTTATCTTGTCTAGTAGGAAGAATAGCATACTTCTTTTCCTGGAGACTTTCTTTCAGGTACACGACATCCTCTAAACTCAAAGATCCAGATTTCAAAGCATTGTCCCACAGTAAGAACACCTCACAAACCTGTAACGTGAGTTAAACTTGCATCACGATAACAATTGAGTTTGAAAAAATAAAAGTTGACTTGCATTAGAGGATTGGTTACCTTCTTTGCTGCCTGATGAGGTAAAGCAATAGTAGACAGCTGCAGCAAAATCTGGAGATAGCTGCAGAGAGAAGGACTTTCATCCACTCCACATTCATTCACAAAAAAGTCATGAAGGTTGGGGTAAAAGCTGCGTAACATTATTCTCTGGGGACTAACTATGCTTCGGGCACATTCAGGATGGACTAACTTTATTTGATCAACTATCCCAATACTATCATGCCAGTATACTTCCTGAGGGGACAAGAGTGCACCAGGTACAGCAGCCTCCTCTGAACTACTCAAAGTATTCGGAACAAATATGAAAGGTCCTGAATGTAATTCCTCTAAAACTTGCATCTTTGAAGAAGACGTCGCCTTCCAAAGAAATGAATAGAAGTTGGACATCTGCAACAAACTGATTTACACAGGATATTTAGGTACATGTGCTACTCGACACATCGCGGAAACTAATGCATTAAATCTAGTAGCAAAGGACTGAAAAATATATCTATATATAAATATATAAAGAGAGAGAGAGAGAGAGATGATAACATAAAAGAAATTGACAAAAATCAAGAAAATTTGTGAATTGCAGAAAACAGCTGATGCATACAACAAAATAAAGAATCCGTTATAGTCAAAGCTTTAACAATTGTTGATATAATAAAATGAAGTGTCATTTTCAGAAAGGCATACCTAGTCTTGAGGGGTGATTCTGATTGTCTCCAGAGTTTAAGAACTGATATAGCATCATCAACAGTGACTTCAGTTCTAAAACCAATGTCAGCTAACAACTTTTCACTTACAACCTGGTTCAAATGCAAACATTTTCGTTAACTTCACTATATAGCGCACAAAATACGTCTGGTGTATCATCAACCACGAATACAGCAGATAACAAACTAAATAGTATCAAGGCTGCATCGTAAAAATAAATGGAGAAGAATGACAAATCATGATCAAAATTACATTAAGATGCGAAAGTTTGAAAAGATTTCTTTCTTAGAATATAAATTATGAGAAGACAGTCCAACAAAAACATCATTATAAAATGAATCAGCATCATAAAAATTACTTAAACATAACTGGCTTCTTCGGAATCATATTGAATAATAAATTTAGATTTACTTGGCAGAATATCTAAAATATTATAATGTTACAGATACAAGCTATCACAAACCAATCAAGTGCCAGCTCACACAGATATGTTAAATTAGCACTGACAATTTGATCTAAGGTAAATTTACTGTGGATTATCAATATGAACAAGTGAAGCATCAGGCAGTTAAAGAGGCACTGTGTAATGAAATGATGGGCCCACGCACACAGATATTAAATCTGATCCTCAAATGTGCAGCTACATAAACTAGCAGAACAAAGCTGACCTCAAGGTACTCAAGTAACTGTCTCAGTTAAAAATAAAAGCCAAAATGGGCAATTAACATCGTATTGGAAGCTAATTAAGAATTTCGCAATCTTTCAGTAGGACAGCCTGAACGTACAAAGGCATTTTAGTAAGGAACGTTCTTCAAGAAAGTTTAAATATTAGTCCTTCAAAGACTTAAAAGGAAAAATAAATGCAACGTAAAACTTGCATGACTTAGTGCAACAAAATTTCAAGTGATCCAAAGCAATAACTATAGAGGTAGGTGAAATTTCTTGAATAAGTATTAATTGATCCTCTCTATATACCTACTGCTATGCCTAATGAAGACGAAACCCAATTTAAACTGACAAAAAAGGAAGGTGAAAGGGTAGAAAGAGTATGGGACACAAGTGAGGGAGCAAGAAAGAGACAGAAAGGGTGAGATAAGGATCATCTGTTGGAAATTTAGCAATGGCCTTCTAAGTTCAGAGCTACTAACTTAAACATACAAACCAGGAAACTTAGAACAACAATCTGAAATTTGAAAAGCATGACAGATACTGCAACCAGTCTAACCTTTGGAATAGTATAAGGAGCATTACCACCAAGTACTGAGTTTACTGCTACACAATCGTGGAACAAATCTTTAGGATAATAAAGTTTGTTGTCAACATTTGAAGCTACCCATGGCGTATCTTGGAGGATGGTCAAAAGCGATGACTTGTATGGTTTGTGCTCCCCAGCAAAACCAATGTAATAACCAGTAACTTTGTCACTGAAATAATCATCCCACAATCTATCAAGAATCTCCAAGAGATATTTAGATTTCTCCTTGTCATGTTTTGAAGATAGCCGAGACAATAGCTGAAATAACTCTTCAGATTCCCAATTTTTAGCAATTACATCAGTAGACATGATGATATCTTTGACATGCACAACATCCTTTGTATCTGCAAGAGACATATCAGCAATGCTTTTCCCTACTTGAACTACTTTAACAAAATCAGTTATTCCTATTTCCTTCAAAAAATTCCTCCACTTCAATACTCCTCCAGATATAGACTTGGTAATTGAATGCTTCACGTAGGCAGCATCAATTTCATGCCATCTCATATCCATACCAGTAATTAGCCTACTCATATCAACAGGATTTTCAAACTCCTTACAAAAATGTATAGGTACCTCAGACGATCGTTTGAAGCCATAATTTGTCAGAATGAGAGCCTTTTCATGCAACTCTGCAATAATGCTAGCCCTTTCTAGGCTACAGGTCATACAACTTGATTGCAAGTGGAACATTGCAAAGGCAAGGTACTCAATCATCAATTCTTTCTGCCCAGTTGCATTTTCTTCATCAGATATGGCTGGTATGATTTGTACCTTTACAACATCATGAACAGACAACTGCTGGACACCAATTTTATAAAGCATTTTTGTAACATTCTCCTTAATAGTTGTGTCAGAACATGAGGATGCTGCTCCCAAAAGGTCAGGACTTACAATACGCAGTTTTGCATACAATTTTGGGAAAGCCTTCAGAAGACGCTCATCATTAATATCTTGATTTACCGGCTCTGAATGCAACCAAATGGTGCCCTCGTCCAGTGAGCTGTATTTACCATCTGAAAGAGGGATAAACGGTGTTTTCTGAAGGTTCGTTATCCAATCAAATTCAGACACAACACTTGGAGTGGTTTGCATTAGAAACTGGGATGACATCATATAGACAGCGCTTAACCAAGAACATAACCAACTGATGCCCACCGACTTTAACCCATTATCTGAACAACACAGTGAAGAAATGACCCCAAGTAGAATTTTTGGTCCGTACTCTTCCACGCCCAAAGCCTTTGCCAATGAATCAGAGAGAACAATGTCTTTATTCAAGTACCCAAGACCAAGATGCTCGCGCAGTAAACTATCAGGTAATAGATCACGAGTTTGCTCAGTCCAATTTCTCAGGACCTTGCAAGGAGGGGCCCATTCGATTTCATCACCTTCTAGAATCAAGCAGTCTGACATGCGCAATTTGGAAATTATCATTCGTGGTAAGCTAGAAAAGAACCCATGCACCTCACCCACTAGAGGAATAAAACTCATGAACACTGTAATAGCTTTCCCAAGGCTTCCTCTATAACAAGGCAGAGTACAAAATGACCTCTCAGCACTGACAAACAAGTCAGGGAATTCTGAAAGCAACCATTGGTTCCATGGACTATTGCCATCAACTTCTTCCCTGGAAGAAGGCAAAACAAAATCCCCTTGGAGAATAAACTTAAGGCCATATGTCCTCAACGGAAGAAATGCAAAAACAGGTTGTTGATTCAGAATTGGGGCATATCCTCCATCAGATTTCTCCTGTAATGTAAATGCAATAGAAATTTCTGTTGTTTGCACATCAGAACGAATGGCATCAGCTCTTAGCTTTTGTGATACAACAAACCAAGTCATTTTCTCATTACCAAGGGCAACCTCAACAATACCATCACCTAAAACTTTTCTCCGCATAACAATGAGTGAATGATCAATCAAGTTTCTAAACTTAATGCATCGGAGACGATGTAGAAACAAAAGTAAAGAAGGATGAAGATCTGAAAACATGGATAAGATGTGGTTCATAGCAAAGCCTTCCACCATTGTAGGTCTAAAAGGGAGCACAATGCATGTGTTCCACAAGTTCCGGTCCACGTGATCATCATCTGTAGCTGCCAATCTGGCAAACAAGTTAATATCACACGGAGGAACAACTGTTGGTAGAACAAAACCAATCTGGCCTTCAGTTATGTCGAATTTGATATGGAACCCATTTGAATGAATTTCAGGGGCATCTGTAACCTGGAAATGTGGGAAAAAATAATTATAGCATACCACAAGCTAGGGATAGTAGAACTCACGTAAAAAGATACCAACACAACAACACATTCAGTTGATAGTTCATATGGATAAACAAGAAGCAATGGGAATGTATCGTAAAGGTATGCTGTAACATGCGGAATCAATTCAATGCACTGCTGTTTGGCTCTACCAAAGAAACAACCCTCTAGTTCCTAACACAATCTTTAGTCCATTCTTTTCTCAGTCACCAGGCTTTGGCTAATAGTAAATTCCTTAATTTTATCATTGTCTGTACTTCAGAGTTACAACCTCCAGAAAAATATATTGCTTAGAGATACAAGAGGAGCTGCTCTACAAAACTTACTCATAGACTGAAGGTTTACTAGAAATCAATCAGTTCATACAACCAAAGAAGAATTATGTCCAACTCGTTTTACACAAGCAATTAAATGAGTTGAAAAATTAGCCAATTGTTACTGAAGTTACTAGCGTAGTCTATTGACCGCCTTTTGGTTTAGGAGACACTCATGCACAACTTTATACAGCAAAACACAAGTCAACTCCAAATCCTGTTCCAAAATTTATCATGTTTCCAAACTATTTTGACATGTTTTAGCGAGTAATGCAGCAAGTGAACTTGCGAAACAATGTAAATGCCCTTAGAGTTACCCGAAAAACTGATTTGAAGCCGATGCCTTTTTTCCCAATGTATCCAGCACTATGACCTTTTTTCGTTGAATTTCCAACGTCACACAGTGCTCTGATGTTCTTGGCTGAAAAACCTTCCTCGTTATTTAGTACAATAATGCCTTCTTCCCGGAGAATGAATGTTAAAGTGGGTTCCACATTTTTGGGGTAGATATTATCATCAGCATTTTGAACCTGTAAACAGCACCAGGAAAGACTAGCTGTCAAAATAATAATTATAGCGACTCACTAATGATTGAAGCTATTCAAGAATCATCAGAGAGATGATTTGGGTTTTTTCGCTACATGACAAGGAATAAATCTTTTCTGTGGTAGGATCAGTAAGGCTATGGCTACACGACAATCTTTAATACTTCCATTTTAGAGCTACTATATATGAAGTCCTAGGTCAATTGGATTGAATTTTAAACTAAACAAAAGATAATTCCATAATTACTCTCTTGCTAGAGTTAGACCTCCATCATCGTGTTTCTTCGACCATGATGACCTCTCCTTGACTTTGCTTTTCTCCCTCTAAATTACTGATATTCAGGAACAGAAATTATGATATTCCTACAAAAGAAAATGCCTACACTTGACGCAGTGACACCTGAACAGGGTCCAAACTTTTCAATGATTCATTCTGAACCCACTTACCTTTTAACCACAAGATTCAGCTTTAATCCTCCTAGACTGACTATACCGGAAGTTCTCATGCATAATGATGGCTATATCTGATGATACTCTCTCATTCAATTCAATTCGATCAACTATCTAAAATGCAGAATAAAAACCAAACACATTCGGATAAGGTTAATAATGGTTCATCATTACAAACTAGGATGTTCTTTACAGCAATTTCACTGATAGCTATGCAGCTGGCTACTCAGGGGCAGGATCTGAGAGAGTGATATGTTGATTCCACTACTACCTACGCAAGTGGAGGCTTACCTTCACTAACTCATCCTCAATATTTATGGTTTGGCATACAAGACCATTAATAAACCAGCAAGTGTGATATGTTAATTCCACTATTACTATTGCAGGTGGATAGCTAGGCTTATCTTTACTAATCACTCTCTCAATATTGAAGATATTATATACATAACCAATAACAATCAGCTTGCTGGAGTACACATGGCTGCCAAGTACATAAGCAGGCATAACCTTATATGTAATCAACATGAATACATATGAATAAACCGCAACTAAATGGTATGAAAATTTTACAATCAGAAAATGCTCAAAACATATAAATGAAGCATAAATGTAAAACGTGAGAACATTGTGTAGTCATCTACATAGAGAAGTCGCTATTTTCATGTGCATGTACTTTGTTTGGGAGTGGAGGGCTCATATTGTATTCATGCTAAATAAAGTTAGTTAGACATTTATGCATACCAGCTCCAGAAGAAAGTGAGAATCCTGGGAATACAACTCTTGTGAGAGACAATGGAGAGCCCTGCCTAATCGAGCATGCTGCTTCTCCAACATGTTATTTTCAACTGCTGAAAGACTTGAATCTATACCAAATTCCTCCTTCCTGATAGATTCAATAACTCTGACTGCATCACTACCACTAAGATTATTGGATGGCAACTGGTACTCCGAACTTCCAGCCTGACATTCAAATAATTTAGCTGAATCAGCCCCAACACTGACTCGCTCATCGCAAGAAACCAACATTCCACCTGAAGAGAGATGCTTCTCCAGTTCACCTTGGCCAACCACGGATGTTTTATTTAACTCGAGATTAGCCGCATCTAAAGATGGAAGTTCAGATGAAAATCCTGTCCCTGCAGAAGAACAAAAAGACTGGTAGTCCTGAACCCATTCCATCAGTCCAAGAGACATCCCTACCTCATGAAGCATGAGACGCTGTTTTATCTGGTTACATTCGCTCAAGATAGCTGCAGGAGCATTGCTCACAAGAGATTGCAATCCGGTGATCAATACATCTGCCGCAAAACGGCAAAATTCAATTGGCAGATAACTCAAACATTCAAGAACAAACTTTGCCACAACTGGAGTTGCTCTAGTCAGAATACTTCTATTATTAAGTGACATGCTAACCACATCTCTGGATGTGCTTTCACCAGCAGTATGCTGATCAGATGATGGATTCCCATGTACGAGTGGATTCTTTCCACTATGTAAGAGCAGATAATTATCAATAATCACCTCAAAACCTTGACGTGCATAGCACTTTAGAAGTGATTGGGGAACATTATGTTCCCCCCCATATAATACAATCAAAGATAGTAATTGCACAGCCGTTTCAAAAGAAGACCCTCGAATTAGAACTTTTAAGAATGAGTCCACAGTAGCCGAATGGTCAATACGGATCACCTTGCCATCCTTGGTAATCAAACACAACAAATCTTTGGTGTTGACCTCCTTTAACAACCATTCCACAATCGAACCAAGAGAAGGAGCATACAAAATATCCCAATGCAACCATATGTTTAAATCAATCATCATAGGGGCCTTAAGTATCGCCTCCACAGCATCCTTAGTAGTAAATGCAGCAACCACTCCTTCCACTGTTGTATTACAGGCAAATTCACTAGTTTCTTCCACTTTTTGTCCATTTCGAGCAGCTGAATCACACACACAATTTAATCTAGACAATGGTACAGAAAACAATACAGAACTTGAGGATAAGCTGAGTCTTTTTTCTCGTAGAATATCTGGACGATTTGTCTTAAGATCACCGTTACCTAGCTTGAAACACACTGAAGGAAACTGCTTTGCCAGCAACTCGGAAACATTCCGCATGTTTATAGATTCATTCTCCCGAAGGCTGTCTAAAGCTTGTGATAATAAAACTTCCAACTGAACTGGCAACAGGTGTGCCTCCAAAGAAACATTTTCGGATGTGTCACCCCCAATGCACTTTTGTAATGCTTGAGGCAATAGGTGCAAATATTTCTCTACAAATATTAAATATTCTCCATAACCAAGGGATTCAAACTTCTCAACGCCATATTGCTCAATTAACCAATCCTCGCACTGGCAAAGCGTCCTGAAAAGACGTAACTTGTTCTCCAAAGAAGTACCTCTATAGCACATGATGTCATTCTCCAAATATCCAGAAACTTTCTTTGCAATATCTTGAGCACTAGCATCTACATTAATCAAATTTTTGAAAGACTAAGTAACTGCAGATAAACAAATGCCATTAAAAGTGATGGCTGAAGCAAATAACACGTCAACATTTTTAGATTTTCCCTCCCACCCAAGGAAAAAAAATAAATCTAGTGATAGATATAGTTTGTGAAGCTGTCAATTATAATTGATTAACTACATCAAGTTTTTTGGAGTTCATAAAGTATCACATTTCTAGAGAATTAAGCATCAAAATTTCAGCCTTGAAATACAAAAGAACAGGCATTAGTAGCATTAGGTGAAGCATCGATTCTCGGGAAGCAAATAGCATTAGTTAGGATGGTGAAAAAATGTTTCAAACCAATTCAAGTCTTTTTTCTTTCTTCTCTCTTTTCAATATTTGTTTAACTAAGTTCTTCAAAATATAACAATGCAGGAGTGGGGCTGTCTATACATTTTCTCGCCAATTTAAATGAAGTTCATACAAAATCTATGCAACATAGGATTAAATGCAGACATACAATATAACAAGCAACAACTCATTAAAACACATCGATGTTAGTACACTTCTACAGGCAAAACGGCTTACCACGTTTATGTGTGCGAAGTAGCTCTGCTGAAACAGGAACATCCTTCTTAGCTTGTTCAACATCAATGCTTATGTAATCAGGTGAACTCTCAGTTTGTTTGCCATCAACGTCTTGTTGGCTTAAAGTTTGGAAAGTGTCATACATATGATCTGACATCCCAAATTTTATAAAAGTCACCTGCAGCAGCCATAAGCTAGTAAGGTAGAGCCATACATAAAAAATGAACATTCTGCAAGCAGAAAAAACTAGAATAACGAAACTAAGAAAATGTTCAGTCAGCTTCTCAAAATTAATTTCGATAAAAGAATCATGTTTGTAGTAAAAATTTCCATTAATGAAGACTCAGTGGGAGGGTCGGAAAATATTCTTCTGTTTTTCATTCAGACATATAAAAGATTTCACGTGATTATGAAGATATTCACATCCATAGATCCAAAAATCACTTTGAATCTATTCTTTTCAAAATTTTATCCCCCATCGCGTTTTCCTCTCAGTATGCTGCTCTTTCTACCTCCTCAGTTCCATATTTACTCGAATGATAGAAGTGAAGCCAAATCCAGCAGTCACGAACTCCACTGCACCTGGTATACCATCATACCATCGTCTCTTGATCTGTCTATCTTCCTGTTTACTCTAGGATTGTGGAAAAGAAAGTGACGAATAGTATAGCAAAGTAGATAAGAAGAAAAGGAGAAAAGAGCAGTGAAAAAGAAGGGTGCAGATGGCAGAAGAACGGAATCAGGTGCAGAAGATGAAAAGCGAAAGTGAAGGGTTTTGGAAAAGTTGGAGCAAATGAGTGCTAGTGGCTGTGTAAACAGCAAAAGAAGGCAAAATTAGAATGCAGATGAATGATGACAGCACAGCAAGAGAAAGAGGAAGAGAATACTGGATACAAAGCAGCATAAGTTAGTGGATGACAATATAGAAATACAGCAAGATAAAGGAGAAAGGCTGAAGGAGGAGACTGATGGTGGCAGAACACAGACAGGCCAGAGAATAAAGGACGTAGAAATGAACTATTGGGAGCAGCAAGAGTTAAAGAAAGAAGGCCTGTCGCCAGGAAAAAACAAATAAATAAAAGAAGGCAATGACTGTACATGGATAGCTTTTGAAAAAGATCATCAATGCCGTTTTGCGAAATAGGAGATTTTTGGAGTTGGTGATATCAGAAACAGGGGCATGGAGGGCATAATTTATTGACTCACTGAATGCTTAGTTACGATAATGTTGACCTGATGAATCAAACAAAAAGACCATAGAGTAATCAAGCTATTCATCAGGACAAGAATATCATACTCCAGCAAGACAATGCATAATAGAACAGGACAGCAACACCACTGTGGCATTGACAAAGACGATGAAACTGAAAAGGAACAGTCATTTCCCAATGTGACACTAATACAACCAGTGTTTCCTTTGCTTTATACGTCGGTTCACAGTAATGACGTCATTATATCTTGAAACGGTACCATGTCCGTCTGTTTATCCTAGATTCATATTGCATCAAATGCTTAAAGTGCATGATCATTCTTAATATATTTTAGTTATTCGAGAAATAAAAAATGCAGAGTCCACATTAAGGAGTCAGGTGCTAGTAAGATGGGAATTCCCACAATCAAACTATATCAAAGAAAATGGAAATAAAATATTGATGACGTGAACCAAGTTTCTACTACCTACATAATCCAGAACTCAAAATGTCACTGTGAAACAAACATTACACCACAAGTGTTGCATGTGAAAAGATCACAAACAATGCAAGAACTATAAATTACAATAAAGAATATATTCCGAGGAAATTTAGAGGACAGAACCAAAGTTTCTTCAGTTCACTGTCTCCTCTAAGCAAATTAATGTATTGAATTAAAAGATTGTTTTATAACCAGTTTAAAGACCAACCACTATAGCCAGAGGCATCCTTTATTCTTTACCAAAGTCATGAAGTCCTCCCACGCAGATGAGTCTTACCTCTCATACCTTTTCTAGGCCACAGGCCAGTAATTTCCAAACTATTCACACGCCCCAAACCACCACCTTCCCCACCCCCTAAGAAAAAAGCCTAATTATGACACTGACTTTTCGTTCTAATTTCTAATCCATGTTTTAATCTGGTTTTCCCACCTACCTAACTTACGTTTGTCACAATATAAGTCTGTAACTAGCAATCAATGATTAGCGGCTTAGTCCACCATTAACATCATATTTCAAATGCGAACCTCCACACACTTTCAGTTAACGCTTTATTAGAGACTAGAACTCGATAAGAATAAATACTTGCTTAACTAATTAATTAACCAAAGCACATCCAAAAGAAAAAATGGAAACAAAGCATGCAAAATACTTCAAAGCTAAAGGACTTGGATATCTAAACTTGAATAGCCATAGATACTCACAGCAGCATGGAGCAATCCGCAAAATGGGTACAATTTGAACATCTCTCTCGCTCTCTTTTTCCACTTCGCATTGTAAAACTGAAGCATCCTCTCAAGAACCTAATGCAAGAATATGTTAAGAATGGGCACTGAAAGTTTACATAAACATCACGAAGATGAGTCAGACATGTAAAAGCAAAAATGTAGAGCAGAAGAGAGAAGTGGCGGCAGTCTGCGGAAGACATAAAATAGAAAGCAGAAGAAAAAAAAAAAGTAGCAATTGAAAAGGAAGCCAAAGAGTTTGCCCACGTAGTCTGCTCACAGCTCATAAGAGCATTATATAACTTCATTCCTTCAAATAACATATTGAAATATTTTGAAAGCCTAAACCAATTATGACACAATACCAAAGGATGCACTGAGTTTAACATGAGGACAAAAATGTTTCTCAAAGCTTGTATCAGCATCACCAAACTCATAAATTGAACAGAATCCAAGCAACAATAAAATGATAGAGCATAACACCTTCCTTGCCATATGACTTGGAATAAGTATAGAAATTGACCTTGCAACACCTAAGGTTTCACTAGCAAAGCAGTATCTAGAACAGGTCTTCTCTCATTCAATTAAATGAAGTCCCATGCATCTAATCAAATATCATTGTGCAATACCAAAACAAACATAATTTTTTCAGTCAAAAACTAGGAAGAATTAACTAAGGTCAATGCATGAAGTTTCAATAAAAAATTGAGACACGTGATTAGGAAAAAAAAAAATCAATTTTGCAACTAAAAGTGATTGTGGTCATTGAGAGAGTAGTCATATAATCACTTTCAAATCTTCGTGTGCTTGAATGGCTCAAAACGACTATTCAAAAGAATACGTGATTACTGTTGGATGGCCAACCCTAGAAAGAGAGCTAAAGAAACAGATGTCGCCTCTCCCCAGCCATCCACATGTCAAAAAGTTAACTGTCAATTATCATGTCCAAAGCGATCAAGATACTACCTCATCAGCGGTGTTCACTCGGCATGCCTCCTTCCAAGTTGTAAAAAACATCTTTAAGGACTCAATGGATAGTGAATGACCACCTGTACCCCGATGACCAGAGCTCTCATTCTTGGGATCTTCATTTATTATTTCTTTTTTACACTTCTTGGCAGCCAAGGAAGCACTAGAACTCGTGTTCTCACATCTTCTCTTTCTTCGGGGATGCTCACTGTCAGCATTGCTCCTTATACCACCAACAGGTGTATAAGGGCTGGATTCTACTTCATTTTTCAAACCCAGCCTTGTCATTTCTTCAGTTGCAGAAGGGTAAGGACAGCCACTGCCACGGTCTAATCTCACATTTGGAAGCGACAAACTGCAGTTGCTCTCTGCATTCTTCTGATTCCAATTATCAGCATTCTCATTAGCTTCACTGTCATCATCATCGTCGCTGCTATTATCATCTGAACTTGATGTAAATCTTATGTGTTTTCCACAAAATTGGGTATTGACTGATGAAAATGACTCCATACGTTGGGCTATTGCAGTGAAATGGTCATCCAACTCTTTCTTTTGGGAAGAAAAAAGGGGGCGCTTACTCTTCTTATCAGATTTTGTTTTCATTTTCTCGTAACATTTTTCTAGTACTCTATCTTCCGACTGTCTTGCCCGTTCTATATGATCAACATATGCTCTGAAAACAAGAGATAAAACCAGTTGAAAATTTGGCAAATAAGTTTGCTGTTGTCATACAGCAATTAGACTGTTGCTAACAAGTACTGACTGATGCTTCGCAGAATATTTTCATCCATGAATAATTCAACAGGAAAAATAACTATTCTGAAAACACACTGAAGAAAATGATAAGACTTTGGACAGAAGATAGATGACATACCCAAAGTTCTGGATACACACAGAAAGTTTTTGCCTGCCACTCACGGATTTTTTCTTGGAGATGAAATCCAAAAAGATATCAGCTTTGATTTTTTTCTTTTTGTGAGTATCAATGAACTCACAAAGGTAAGAAATTATCTCCTCAGTTGTGATTCTATACACCTCAGTTATCTCAGAATTCAGATAAAAGTAATGCACAACAAGTGGATGTCTCAACAAGGGACCCAATTCCAGCTCTTCAAAGCGTCCAACACCCTCACTCTCGCAGATTGCCACTTCCAAATCATACAGTGAAGTAATTCTTCTGGCGGAGACAAAGCAATGGATGAACATATTGATCTTCACGGAAAAGAAGGAAAAAGGAAAAATTAGCCACCAGTAAGTCAAACTAAACGAAGAAGATTATAAAGAATTCAATTTCTGCACAGTAGCATTCATGAAACTGCAATCAACTATACTCTTAAACAGCAATTTACCCACACTAAAACAGGGAAGTCGTTAGTGTAAAATGAATATTCAAGAATGGATTCATTTGAAAGAGCATGTTTTTTGAATTAATGTTCTTTTGGCCTTAAGAAGAACAAACATGTCGACCAAGTCAATCACCATGTTGTTAAGGATCAAAGTAAGAAAATAATTATTTTCCAACACCCAGTCTAGCGAGAACTAAAAAGGGCCATAGGCTTCAACACTGCAGCAACTTTGGCGATGGTAACAAGCCATATAATTCCGGACAGAGTCAACATTCCATAGCATCTTGATCAAATTGTATGAAGAAAATTAACAGTTGGACAATGATATCAGAATAATTATACATTGATTCCATGTAGATAATTTCCATAGTATAAGGATAATCACTCAACTAAGCAACAATATAAATTGTGTCATCCTCATTTCTAATATCGATGATGTAAAAGAAAACACAAAGAATAATGTGTCAAACTGGCAAATGTCAGTAAGGTTTGTGTACATCTCCAAAAAAGAGTTGATTCCTTACTACACGTCTTCTTTCCAACATAAGGAACTTCAGATTTTCCACATAATAGCCCTTCTAATGATTTTAACGGAGAGAAACAAAAATTATCAACAGCTAAATTTTTCTTCTAAATATATAATAATTTGCACACCTTCCCTTCAACAGCGAGTAGACGCTTCAATGAAGGCACTTGCTGCATTTGGAACCCCAAACTCTCCCACGACTCCGCCTTCACCTTCAACAAAGCCGACTGAGAAACTTTCCAGGCGGAAATATTATCATCTAACTTCAAAAGGTCTTTCCAAGCCCTCATCGCCGCCTTATCAAATTTCTCAACCATCTCGCCGTGCTTCTTTTCGTGCTGTTGCGGAGATTTACTGTTACTGCTACCATCAGTAATCGGATCTTGAAAATTGCTGTTGTCAGGAATCGTCTGATAAGAAAAATTGCTGTAGGGGAAGGGCTGTTGAGCTTGCGGGAAAGTGGTAGGGTTTTGCACAAAGGGGTACAGGGGAGGCAAGAAAGCAGGGTTCTGCTGTGGAACGAAGAAAGAGGGGTGCGGGAAAATATTGCTGGTCATTGGAATTTGCTGCTGTTGAGGCGGCTGCGCAACCTCTCGGCCACGGCGGCGGCCGCCACCAGAGCGAGACGGCGGTGACTGTCCGTACATGAGGGAGAGAGACGAAATAGGTTTTAGAGTGGCGGGGAGGCGGGACCAAATTGACATACAAATATTTATAGCATCAACAGAAGTAGTAATATTACAATTTGGGCCCCTATTAATTGGGAAGTTCTATTATAAAGCCAAACTTTTATGAATTGTTGTTGGCTAGGTTAATTTTGAAATAAGTTGTGAAATTTCAAATTGTAAAAATTAGAAAAAGTAGGATTGAGAATTCCATCATATGTCTAGAACGGTTTTGTTATGGAGTCATCGGATGGCTCGGCTTATGAAGTCATTCATAGTTATCCACAAATGGTGTATTCCTGCAATAAATACATATTGGACATATGTCAATACATAAAGTTATGGATGACTCCATAAAGGAGTCATCCGATGGCTTCATAGATTTACTGATGTCTAGAAGATCTCATACATCTTCCGAAAAAGGATAATTGAGTCAAGTCATATTATATGAACTTAAATAAAAAGGCGAATTTTCAATTGTACCACATGATTTGAAAAAATATTTCACTCTCACGACAGGGGATTACTTAATTGCATCTTTACAAATTCCATTACAATTAATTGTAAAGATGCACCATATTAGGTACCAAAATATAATGCAACTTCTCTCCTTAAATTGTGCATGCCACGCATTTTTTTCATTATACAAGAAAAAAACATATTATATATGGTTAGTTTATATATTCTACAAAATAGGATGTTGTTTCACTACAAATAGAAAGAGAAGGAATTTGAATTTCGAACTACATCATCTTCCAAATATATACAAACTACCCAATCAATAAATATTATGTCATGTTGACGAATAAATTCTGAAAAATATAGGAAATCAAACAGGTATTTTTTCTCTTTTCGACAACTGTTTTTGTTATATTTCATCACATTGCTTTTATTGTGTTTATTGACCGTACATGTTTTATTGATTTTTTCTTTTAGATGGATACGTCAATGATAAAAGCGGAACATATATTGAAAATATACAGAATATAAAAGTAATATATACTAAAGATATTGTGATGCCATCCCGAACAAGATTTGACGCTCGTCGTTAAGCCCTTTACCTCTTTTTCTTATAATTGCCGACTTAGTTGGTTTTGTCATTTATTTTTCTTATTTTTTTCTCAGTTGGATAAATGGTCTGTAAATATACATACTATAAATGGTTAGATAAATGGTAAATAAAAATGCAACATATTTTGAACATATACAGACTATAAAAGCAATACATACTGAAAAATACTGTCATGCCCTCCTGTAATTTGACCTATATAAAATTCCTCATCAACCAACAATACAAAAATAATTAAAATCTGCAGCCTTATTACTGTGAATCTAAGATTTAAAAGAAATAATTTTCCATCTAACGTTAACAATGTGCATCATCTATGTATATATAAAAAGTATAGAATTTGTCCGCCAACCTCCAACAGTCCGAGCCGCCGTCTGCGTCGTTAGTCTCCTACTTAACCCTCCACGCCATTATTCCAATATAAAGGTTTGTTCTTGCAATGGATATTTTTGCTTGAAGACTAGGGTTTGCAATTACGAGGGAAAATTTATTGAGTTAGTGGGTGGTTAATGAGGTATGAGAGAGAGAAAGAAAACTTTTATTACCATATAAATGGGAATCAATTTGTAAAAAAGAAAACTAACTCTCCCAATTCACGCTAATTAGTAATTAATTAAGCTAATTTATTTATAATAGTTTTTCTGGCATATGTGCAAATAAATATAACAACTCTAGCTATTTTAATAATAATTATATGAAATGTGTAATTGTGTAATAAAAATGGAATAGTTTAGTGTGCATGATAGTTTTCTTTAAATAAAATAACCAGTTCTTGAGTTAAGTAATAACACTGAAAATGTGATGTGGTTTATATAATGGCCCAAAAGGTATAACTTGCTCGAACCAAAATATTTAGATAAATTTAACTAGTAAATTAAATAAGCGAAATTTTTTTACTTACCACAAGAATTTTAATATATTGCAAATATACAAGCTATCATATTTTTTTAGCATACATACTAAATTGAAGTGCCTTTATTTTGTGCTACATTGAAAACGGCCGATATCAAAGGAATCCACCTTCCTACAATCACTCCCTTATAGTAATTCAGTTAGGGAAAAAGAAAAAGTAAGTGATATAACAACCTATTTGTTAGGAACTTGTTCATATCAGCATGGAAGGAAATATAATTTAAAATTCAGGTGTACTATCTCTCTCAAAATACAAGAAATGCAGACAAGAAATCTGAGAACAGAACTTAGATATTCTCAATTACAGAACATATACATCTACTCATCGCCAATCCAATTTTATTGCAGAACATATACAGAACATAAATATAACATATACAAAACATATACAGAACATGCACATTCAGTGCATAACATATTTTTTAGGTGTTGTCGGCTTGAAATTTTTTTATTGTTATCACCAGGGTCTGACTGAAAATGACCCGAATCATATATGGAATCGGCCTTTTCATGATCTAGATATGTTTTTTTTTTCTTTTGCTACAGTGAATTTGCAAAAATGACCCGAATCATATAAGGAATCGACCTTTTCATGATCTAGATATGTTTTTTTTTTCTTTTGCTACAGTGAATTTGCAAGGGCGAGAAAGGACCGCAAATTTAATAAAATGAGAGAAAGAGAGAGAGGGGGGACCGCAGAATTTGCAGGGGAGAGAGAGGACAACAAATTTTAATATAAGCGTATTTATCTCATACATATCGAAATATTTAAGGTTTTAAGGTATATATACAATATTTTATTATTTGACTGGTACACAAGGTAATTATCTCAATTAAATAAGTTGAAAAACTATTTAGCATTTAACTGCGGGTATTACAAGTAGAGCTGCACAAAGTTCGGTTAACCGAGCCGAATCGACCGAAACTGAAAATTCGGTCCGGACCGAAACCGAAACCAAATATTCGGTTTCGGTTTCGGTTTATATTTTTGTAGTTTTCGGTTTTCGATTCGGTTTTAGTATAAATTATCGGTTAACCAAACCGAACCGAAAATCGATATATATAACTTAGTAAAGCCCACTACATATATACATATTGCATAATACATTATATCCTAATATCTATATCAATCCAAGCCCATTTGAAGCCCAACCACTAATTATTATATCAACCCACCAGCCCAAACCTTCATCTCATTTGTANNAAAAACCCAAACTTATTAATTAACTACTAACTGAATCAAAGTAAAATAAATTAAACAATAAAAACATTGATCTTAATATCTATATCATTCTCCATTTCTCCTGTCTCCATTCTCCAACCCGTACCCCGGCACTCAATACTCATCAGCAAAAAAGAAACCCTAATTTTTCAAAACTCATCTCCCAAGCTTGAAGGCTCCCTGCACGACGGATAATTGCACTCCGGTCGTGAATCTGCTCCGGTCTCCCGCACAACGCACGCTCCAGTCGACGTTGGAGCTCATACACCCACGGCCCCACACACACTCGGTCGGCAAGAAATGAGTTCTCCACCCAAATCCCCTCGCAAGGGCTGCGCCTCAGGACCAGGTTCGTTTCACTTTCATTTTTTGCAATTTCTACAAGAAAGAGAACAATTAGATACTAATTTGAATAGTTAATAAGAATTATCTCGATTTGGGATTCTAGGGTTTCAGTTGGTAGAAATTTATATTTTTTAAACCAAGTTCGAGATATAATTTTGAATACATGAACTTCAATTATGTATTGTTATGAATATATGTGTAAAAAAATTAAAATTTCAAACAAAATTTTTTGAGTACCTGCGCCCAGTTAAAACAAATTCTAATTCCCATGTGGGATATGAGATCCTCACTTTTCATGTTCTGTTTTAAGGCCACAGCAACTTCAAGGCATCATTAGTCACTCCATGTATTCTGTATAATTAGTAAGTAGATATGAATCTTGGGTATATGACTGAAAGAAAACAGTATAGTTCGTATGCATTCATAACCTAATTATCTTGCATTTTTTAGGTAAAAAACGCAAAATAGGCGGTTCGGGATGTTTGAGGACTTCAAGTTCAAGCCCACTACGATCGCCTCGTTCCTCATCGAATGATCGGGATCCACAACAAGAATTGGACAATGAAAATTCAGCGTTCAAGAAAGAACGCATGGAAACATCAAATCCATTTGGAGAGGAAGAGGAAGAGGAAGAAGGGGAATCGGATGAAATGGATGAGGGGGTCCCGAGAAAAAGAGTAGAAGAAGGGCCAAGGCATGGCGTCACTTTGAATTGCTAACGGTAGATGGTAGGCAGAGGGCAAAATGCAAGCATTGTAGTAAAACTTACGCGGCCAATACAAAACTCAACGGTACGACTTCTCTTAATACTCATATGAGCAAGTGCAAAAATCACCCCGACAATAAAAATCAGACAATTGCTAAGTTTTGTCAAAACATAAGTGTGGGCACAAAAGAAGGGAGTTCTAATTGGAAATTTGATCAAGAATCGATTAGGAAAGCCATTGCTCGCATGATAATTGTTGATGAATTGCCTTTTCGATTTGTTGAGAATGATGGTTTTAGACAGCTTATGTGCATTTCATGTCCTCAGTTGATTGTGCCATCGAGAATGACTATAGCAAGAGATTGTTTGAACATGTTTGTTGATGAAAAAAATCGTCTGAAGTCTTTAATTAAGTCGTTGGGGTTGAGAATGTCTTTGACAACTGATTTGTGGACTTCGAATCAAAATCTTAGTTACTTGTGTTTGACGGGTCACTATATTGATGATGAATGGAAATTGCATAAGTTGATCCTCAATTTTGTTCCTTGTCCTAAACATAAAGGGGATGAAGTTGGTTATTTGATTGAGAAGTGTCTTCTTGATTTGGGAATTGATAAAGTCTTTGGTATTACCGTTGATAATGCTTCGGCGAATGATGTGACTTTAGCCTACTTGAAAAGAATATTCATAAATTGGGGCACTTCTATCTTGGATGGAAAATACTTGCATATGCGTTGTGTTGCTCATGTTGTGAATCTTATAGTTAAAGAAGGATTGAAACATACTAATTCTTCCATTGATCGTGTTCGGGCGGTTGTTCGCTATGTGGGGTCGTCACCAATGAGATTGAAGTTGTTTAAAGAGTTAATCGTGGAGGAGAAAATTGAGAGTAAAAAATCATTGTGTCTTGATGTTGCAACTAGATGGAACTCTACTTATTTGATGCTTGACACGGCTTTGACTTTTAAAAATGTTTTTGATAGATATGAGATCCAAAATTCCGATTTTCGGAAGGATTTTATGCCAGGTGGAACTTATGAAAAAATTGGCTTGCCCACCAAGTATGATTGGACTGTCGTGGAAAAATTTGTCAAAGTGTTGCGTCATTTTTATGATCTCACCCTCCGAGTTTCGGGTTCACTCTTTGTGACTTCTAACATTTTCTTTGATGAAATATTTGAAGTCCATGAGCATTTGATAGAATGGATGTGTTGTGATGATATTGATTTGGTTGCAATGGCAAGAAAAATGAAAGAGAAGTTTGACAAATATTGGGTTGATATAGAGAAACTTAATATAATTTTGTATGTTGGGTTTATGCTTGATCCCCGTCACAAGTTTGGCGTCCTACATTATTATTTGAAAAGTATGTATGGTCCGGCTCGTGGAGAAGAGATAGCGAATTTAGCTAAGAGTGCTCTTTATGAAATTTTTGATGAGTATAAAAAAAATAGTGGCTTGGTGTCATCAACTTCTACTTCATCGCCTTCTTCGAATGTCGAAAATGTTTCGTCGAGTGTAATGGATAAAAAGATGCGAATCCAAGGGTTGATATCCGGGATTGGGCTTGAGGAATCGGAGCTAGATACATATCTAAATGAACGCTTGGAAAAGGCTTCGAAAGGTTTTGATGTATTGGAGTGGTGGAAATTTAATTGTCGTCGGTTTCCCATTTATCCAAATTGTCTCGTGATGTGTTGGCAATGCCCTTATCTACCGTAGCCTCGGAGCCTACATTTAGCACCGGTGGTCGAGTGATTGATGATTTTTGAGCTTCAATGACCCCTAAGATGGCTCAAGCATTAATTTGCACTCAAGATTGGCTTCGTCGTAGTCCTTATGGTTCGAGTTCGAGATCTTCCTTAGAGGAAAATTTGAAATTTATTGAGAAGATTGAACAAGGTGATAAAAAAACAAATTTTTGTCTTGTTATTTTGTTCCACTTAATTTATTTTTATATTCTAGCAATTGTTCAAGTTTTTTTATATTGAGAAGATTGGGTTGCTGGGGTTGGGGGTTGGGACTGGGGCTGGGTTGCTTGGGCTGGGGGCNTTCTTATTTGTAGATTTGTTGGCGACAAAGGTTGTGGATGGTAATATTGTCGGAGTTTGATATTTGAATTTTAATAACTATAATAAGGTAAGATATAATACCTTGTGCGTTTTATTAATTATTTATTGCATTATCATTTGATATAGTGTACTTCATATATTGTACTATTTAATTCATTTATTTTTTTTTTTATTTTGTTTTATTTTTTGCAACAGGGCAATGCTAAAGCGAAAGGAATGAAAGTTGAAAGATGTCAAATTAGTCTACAATGTTTCTTTTATATATTTTGGTCTTTTGGTTGCTACTTGTAGACTTTGAGATGTTTGTAATGGTGTTTTATTGGACTCTTTTTTATTATTATTGTTATTTGTGAGTGGCCAAGACTTGTTATTTTTATCTATGAACCTAGTGTGATGTAAAAGACTTATAAACTTGTATTTTGGGACAAGCTCTCTCTCGTTTTTTTTTATTATTATGCATTTTAGTTTTTTTTATTCTTATTTTTGTCATTTCTCTTTTGTATTGGATAACCGATAACCAAACCGAAAAAACCGATAAATTTTCGGTTTGAAACCGAACCGAACCGTACTTTTCGGTTCGGTTTTCGGTTTTAATGTTGGTCGGACCGAAAATTCGGTTAACCAATTGTGCAGCCCTAATTACAAGAACGTTGTGGCGTGGGAGGGTTATGTAGGCTTATCCAGGCCCACAAAAACAATGGATCCAAATGCAAAAGCTTTAACATGCCTAAATTCAAGAACATAATTGTGTCACTACCAAAAAGTAACTAGCAGATATGTTTCTGTCAATTATAATAATTTGTATTAATCTGACCAACATGATAGTGTGCACCGCTGTAAAAAATAAAGCACCACTTTAAGAATACAAACACTCCATTTTTACAGAAACTTACAATACAGTCGCAGTTGTCACATATCTATATACTCTGGAGAAAGAATAGTCCTTGTAAGCTCCTTTAAATTCGCTAAAACATGGCGTGGTCCTAAACTCTTGACACCAATAAAATTCAAGAGCTGCTCTAAATCCTGCAATCAAGTTTAAATGAGATTCCTCTTTCATGAAACCGACAAAATAATCTAAGAGTTTAAACAAGCTGCTGGTTGAATTTGTGTAAACTTTCAAACAGTTCTAAGATTGGTCAGTAAAGAAAGTTGTTCCATGTGCAAACAGCTTATTTGCATAAATCATATACTAAGGGGGTTGTATTCAGTTGGATTTCTAAAACTTTTAAAGACTTCATAAATCCCGTTGTATTTAATTTATTAGACTTCTCAACATTTATTAAAAATCTTGGTGTATTCATTTGGGATTTTAAAAAGCCTTACAAAATCTTGAGGTATTTTAACTTATTTGAGACTAGGATTTGATAAGACTTTTTAATATTTGCTGAGATTTCTAAAGAAAAAATATATACGAAATCCCACTTCAAATCCCACATTCAAACTTTAAGATTTCACAAAATTCCTCCAAAATCCAAAAATTTTAAAAAATCTCAAATCTCAAAAAGTCTTTAAATGTCACTTGAAATCCCAAACGAATACAACTCCCTAACATTTTCTTTCTAGTGCAAAACCACAAACATGGTACGAACAAAAATTATCAGGTGTAAGCACTTTGAAATTGCAGACTCGTCATGGATCGTAAAAATTTAGCAAGTGAACGATAAATCATATACTATCCAAGAAATGTTGCTCACCTTGTTCAGCAAGAATACAGCATAAACTGCTCTAGTTGAATCCTGACCCTCAATAAAGAGGGGAAATTCCACAGGCTTCATGCTTGTCAAAGTTAATGAATCCAATGTTGTACTGGATGCTGAATGTTCAATTGAAGGAGTACAGTCACGTATATATGTTCGAGAACCCCCCAATCGTAATGGATAGCGCAAAGGCACTTGTAAATAAGATGCAATAAGTGATACAGCCTGCAAAACGAATCCCCGACATTGTGATCAGAAATATCACCTTTTACTAATTTAGAGCATAACAGAATTGCTTAATTCTGTAGACTCGAAAACTCAGGCTATGATCCTGACAGTCTGACACTAACCCTCGAGACATAATATAAGTGCATATTACTGCTCAATGTGTTTTTTCCATGTGTAATAGCAATTCAAGCTGAGGATTGAAATCAGAATATGAGTTGCTAAAGTTGAAAGGGAAGAACACACATGGGCAACATATCCCAGGGCAGTTGAGGATCGCTGAACCTCCTTCTTGTCAGTGAAAAAACTCATCTTTGTAAAAGGGATCACGTTTAGATGCAGACCTGAGATTGTCAAAGTGGTGTGGTCCACGTGTTTTGATCCATCAGAAACACCTAATAGTGGCAAAAAGGAGCACAGAATTAATATTTAGCATGCATATTAACATTGCTTTACATGAATGAATCCAGAAATAACGTCAACACCTTAACCGCAATGAATATGTAAGAATATATGCATGAAATCTGAAAATTGTCACTGCAGATAAACAAATAATAAGGACACAAATGACATTGTTAATATCCATTGGATAACACATATCAAGTCTAGAAGTGTATGTAGAGTCATACTTATATCAAATCGAACTAACATCCGCTTTATGCCCAAAACAGATGAATCTGCACTAGTCAATCATCAGGGATGACCTAGATATCTCTCGGTCTTACACTCTGGTTTAAACAACAACTTGATGCCTCGGTGAACACACACAAAAAATTGCTAAGTGTTGATAGTATAATTCACCAGAGAATCAGATATATTTCATAGCATTAAGAAATAATGTATATTTATTGTAACAAAGATGAATTGTGTAAAAAAATTGGAAAAATGCAACTGTAAATAATAGCCTATGACAATGAAGCTATGTATCCTGAATTCAATATAGTTCCCAGAACAAGGCACTGGACATATCTATGGCATTTTTTGCGACAGTTAAAAAGTTAAACGACATATACACGAGTAGTTGAGCACATTACTAGTTAAAATTAGTTAGGTAATTTTACAATCTAATTGGGATAACTCACATAATGACATGATCAAGAGATTGAAGTTGTACAGGTTATACACAAGAAAAGAAAAATATTTGAAAACATAGCAGGTACATATAATGGACTAGTGCTAATAATGGACTAGATCAAAATGGCTCAATTAAATTCTAGTGCTTCTTCTATATCAAACGGCGCAATGCACCTTGGGTCGCTACGGAAACAGCCTCCATGTATAATTACAAGGGTAAGGTCTGCGTACAACTGACCCCCCAGACCCCAACCTGTTGGGAATATACTAGGTATGTTGTTGTTGTTGTTAGCAGGTACATATAAACATTAAGCTGAGGGATACTGTAGGGAAATTGAATGAGTCATGTGAGAATGAAGTCTAGTTTTGAAGGAAATCTTCCGTTTACTTTGTCTTGTCTCACAATGTAGCAGCAAGCTAAGAAAATTATGCAAGATAATACAAAACCAGTTGATTAGGACAAAATAAGCTCATTGTTGATTTGATATGGCTTTAGTTCAGTTAAATAATTAATTGCGAACTCCAGAGACTTCAGCAAAGGGATACACAGAAATCTGGTTTCTTCAGGAACTTACAAAAAGTAATTCACTTGTATTTCAGTATTCATTGCAGTAAAGCAGAAGAACTCAAAAATCCCTCACAGCAAAATATTCCAACCTATGCTTTTTTGAAGTTTTACACTTGTTCAGCGCCAAGATATATTATAGTCAGAATACATAAATAGCTGCAAGATTTGTTACCTGACTTGGTACTGCTACTAAACGATTCAAGCTCTTGCTCAGGGGTTTTGCAGATCACAACCTTTACTGGATATAGCAAGGAAACCTGTGAGACCATATACTGTTGCCTTACTCTCAATAATTTTTGCAAGTTTCTCAAATGACCATAACCTTTTTCTCCAGCAAGTGACCTGCTTGCTTCCTGCATTGAAACAAAATCACATTACATACAGATAAATAGGAATAGATATCAGTGATTGGAGATGATAAGAAATCTCAAATGACCTTTGGCAACATCTTATTTACACCAAATAAGGTTACAAGTTGGAATATCATAATACTGAGCAAAACAGAACAACACTTGAGACACAGTACATAAGCTCACAGCTCACTGTAACATTAGTATTGAATATTTGAAAGTCACTGCAGATTACTGGGCGCAAATATCATGGATTAGCCAGTATGACAGTAAACCAATTAAGCAAGAACCTAACACTACTAATAGCAAAACAATTAAAGACAATATTTGATACATAACTTTAATATTATAATGTTGCCTTTTTTGTTGTTGCAAATAACAGAAACCAGATGATAATAGTGATGAATGCAAAGGCACACCAGAAAAGCAGTCCCTTGCCTTAGCCCGCAAACTCATGAAAACTGTTGTATACGTATCACAAAGCACAGATCTACCTCCAAAATGCATTTAGAATTTGTTGTTATGGATGATATAAACTCCCACTCAAATGAGAAGGGGCAGCAAGATATTAAACTTTTCAAGGCCCAATCATTACAAAAATAACACATATAACAAAGAAAAAGGCAACGGTCAAGGGAGAAAGGGAAAGAGGAAATACCTTCTGTTTTTCAAAAGGAATTTGACATGAAACCAGTCATTTGGTGATATTAATTATAGGGTGGGCAAATTTTACCGAAAAACTGTCCACACCAAACCGACTCGATATTTTTGCTATCTAATGTTCAGTAACCGAAAGAATAAAAGCTCGGTTTTGGTTCTGTATAGTTTAAGGTTCGGTATTACCTAAATAAAACTGATTTTTTTTCTAAAATATTAATTACATAATTTTCTTCAGTCCAGACACACCCATTTGTCCAGATCCAATTCCAATTTTAACTACGGGAAGATCGTTCTTTCAGTTTCCAGAACTAGCTGATTTTCTTGAAGCTGTCTTGTCATCTCTTTCCACAACCACATACAACCCCCTACTTTCTAAAATGATCTCCAAATTAAAACCTGTGCACGGAATCTAGAAACAAGACGCTAACAATTCAAATTCGCATGGAGAAAGATGTACAGTTACAAATGTTAACCAATGAGATGAATATTGTTATGTGATCAAACCAAGACAAGCAGAGTAGTAATAAACTATGAATAGAGATACACCTAGGCTTCTTTCCGCCACATGCTTCAAAGACGGCCCCAATTATTGAGAAGATATTTAATGTTTATATTTCTCGAGGTATTGAACACAAATAAGCATAGCTGATCTATAAATTAATCATATTATTACAGAAAATATTGTTTTTTATCATTATAATTCAAATAAATGGTGTCTGAATTGGAAGATTATGAAAACAAATGAATTTTTAAGAATAAGCATAATTAATTGGGCATGATTGATAGCGTAGCCTCGTAGGATACTGGGTTATTATAAATACTTTGACTAATAGAAAACAAATATGCCAGATTAACTACTAGTGGATAGAAGTCCAAAGCATGATTGTATAACAAAGGGCTAGGCCCTGGACTGTCTATAAATTTGTTTCAACCGTTATACATAGGCCAACAGTATAATCCTAGGAAGAGGTCCATGATGAAATGATCCAGACAAGTCCGCGGTGTTATAAAAAAAAAATTCTCTTTCAATCCTGAATCCTTAATAATTATCTTTAATATACTTGTTTGAGGCCAATAAACTTCAAAAGTAAATCAATAATTGGTCAGAGAATGGACAAGCCTTGTTACAATTATTTCCACATGTTTATTGAAAGTCACACCCTCCATTAAGTGGACGGAACTAACGAATACATCTAACAATATTCAAGCTACGATTTATAATAGGAGTGAAGATATTGATTATAGGCATATAACAACAGTTAGATGTAGGGAAAGTGGTACTTCATTTTGTAAAACTGGAAACCAAAAGATATGTAACAGGTCTACTCTAGTATTACCAGCATACGCTTGTTGGCCTCGGAAAGAGAACTTCCACCAGCCAATAGAGATCTTATTTCAGCACTAAGTTGTTCCTCTTGCTTTCTGACCTTCTCCTTCACAACCTTGGAGTGCATTGACATATTTCCCATCACTAACTTACGAGATTCCAGTTTTTCACGCATCCGATCAAGCTCATTTAACCGACTTAAAGACTCTGCTTCTATCTGTTAACAAAAGCGCAAAGACAAATATTTAGAAAAGGCGAAGTGAAACAAACTAAAGACTAAAGGGATGCATACAAGAATGGTAAAGCTTGTTCAGAAAGCAGAAAGAAAACCAAAGATGCACTGTTGCTCTGTATTTCTGCAAATGTTAACACAAACCTCTACAAGACATTAACTAAACAAGTGGTGTAGTTTAATAGAGTTTTGAGCGATAAATCAAAATTACACCATATTAAGCACAATCATGTAAGAGCAGTTAATAGTGGACATAGGAAAAATAGCACTGTTTACTTAAACAGTAATATTGGGAATGCATTACAATGAAACAAAAAGCAGTTAATAGTTCTATTGGGAATGCATTACAATGAAACAAATATGAACTTTCAGAACGAAAGTATACAAAATACTACTTATACTTTCTACAATGGACCAGGAAATATATTAGTGTCATTGTATTCTGTTATCTGTCTAATCAGTCAATTTTATCTTCAATGAATAAATCATATTTTTCAAGCTGGAGTAACTCAATGGAAATATTAAGGTACAAATGTAGCAGTACTAATGGTCTAGAGGCAAACGGAAGACAAGACCTAATTATTTAACCATAATAAAGATGATAGCATGGTTTATTTTAAGCTCTGAAAGTTGAATGTTGATAAATGTGTGAATTAGGAAACAGATGTTTACTCTGGAAACTATATCTGATTCGCAAATGACAAAAAGTATTTTCAGCGGCAAAAGACTAAAGAGCGAGTTCACTCTTCACTGCAGTGCTCAGTTTCATTTTTTCCCATTCCAAAGTATCAGTACTCGAGCTATAATCAGATGAAAACTACCATTTCCATTTCCAGTTTCCTGGGCACAAAAGGCAACAAGTGAATTTCCATTCAGTCATCCTTCCATAAGTTTTGAGAATAAAGCAACAACTTGAGTTTACATTCTTAATGATATCAGGGTTTAGAACTTTGAGGTGTGCAATAGAGTGGTTTCCAAATTTCCATATTCAAGATTTTGCTTTACCAAGATCTCTTTGGACCCCTCACAGATCAGGCAGCCAAAAATTCAACAAACAATTAGTGATTGAACAAAATATAAATTACCAGAACAGTCTTGAATTTTGGTAATTTGTCCAAAGTTACCTCACACATCATTCCCAAAAGACCAAATAGTTATATCTATCAGAAGTTATACACTAGTACTGCCTATGAGGAACATTTGTCACATGTGATAGGCCATTACCTATTCCACAGGATGTTTATAGAAACTGTATCCATCTATTGTCCAAACACCACGCAAACATAGTCAAATACCAATTTATACATCCTGCACCATCCAAGGTACTTATGATAGGCATCTGAGGCAGTAAGGTCCAATTTTATCTTATTCATAATTTATTCTTACAGGTAAAAAGAAAACACAAGCCTGAACAGAGACAACATATAGTAATGTCATACATGTACAACATGCTAAAGTCAGAACAATAATGTGATCAACAATTGATTGGGAAATAATAAAAATTCGATCAGCTGAAAAGCAGTCTATCACATAATAGAAAAAAATCTGCACCATATATTCATGGTGTCAGGCTACTATCAGAAATATGACTGAGCCTTTGTAAAAGCAACCATTTATTACCAAACGGGATATGCAACTATTTTCCATGGTCAACACCACATCAAATGGCACAGTAAATGATAAATAAAACAACTATATTTCCCATAGGAAGCAAATCAAATTGGTTTTTCAGCTCGTATTAACATATAAAATACATTGCTATTTTCATAAGTTTGGTTAGAGTTCACCTGGACCTGGAGTGCTAGCTACACTAAAAATTTACAATCTTTCCCATTGGTTAATATTGCACCTTTATTAGCAAGTTCCTAATTCTCGAACTTGAGGCAAATAAAGAAAGCATAAATTACTACATCTACTGTTACTCTTATTATCCTTAAAGACAACAACAGCAGGAATCTCGGGACAATATCTACAGTTACTGTTATTATCCTTAAAGACAACAAAGCCATGAATCCCAGAACAATATCTGGATTGAGAGCTAGTCCCCAACCATAAGCCGCACTCAAATGAAGATATATTTCCATTTTTTTTTCAAATTTTTCCAGAGCCCCAGCGATCACAGAATAAAACCACAGAAAAGAACATGAACAGAAACAAAAGACATAACATTACCTGTATCAATGAATGGAGCTTCTCTTCAAGCAAATTCTTCTTCCCCCTCCCTTGTTCAAGTGCTGAAGTCAAACTGCAAAGGCGGGCGAGCTCCTGTTCATAATCTTCCCATTCTACAATCTTCGCCCGCTGATCCTCTTTTAACGGCCGTTGATCCTCTTGGCCCTTCACAATCGAGTTCTTCGAAGACTCCATTCACAGGTGACGAACAAGCAAGTACTGGCGACAAATCCTCTCGATTTCAAAAAATAACAATGATTTTCATAGTCGCAGCTCTTCTTCACCATCGTATTGATTATTCCGGGGAAAATCTAGGGTTTAGATCGTCCAAGCTTTGCCCTCATTGCTTTCTAAGCTTTTTTATATTGGAGGAAATGAGAGAATGTCGAAAAAGGAAAGTGCAGTAGTTTTTTTCCGGTTCGATTATTCCACTGTTGTACATTGCCTCTTCGTTTAATTTGCTACGTTTACCATAACTCTTTGAAATTTGGAGTGACGTTTTGAGATTTTTTAAAATTTGATGTTATTTAATATTTTTACATTTTAGAGAAATCCTATGAAATCTTAAATGTGGAGATAGAAGGATGGTGTATTCAATTGGGATTTTTAAAAAAATTTTAAAACTTTAGAAATCATGATGTGTTCAATTTATGGATCGATATGTGTGAGAATTATTAGTTGATATTATTTAATTATATTTATGAAAAGTAAAATATTTAGGTTGAAATCTATTTACTATATAACTAGTACAGAGCCCGTGCGATGGGGTGCACAATTTTAAGGCTATTTATCTAGGCTTATAATTATATACATGAATAAAGAAAAATATACGGGATATATATAGTACGTGACCCCCGTGCGAAGCACGAGATATATTTATTTGGAGAATATTATATTATAAGATGCAATATTCAATAAAAGTTTATAATACGCAAGAAAATTATACAATGTTCAATAAAAGTTTTATAATATTCAAGTGGAGTCTTAAAGTCTCTTGTACATTAAGACTACTGACAAAATAATATTTTAATCAATGAGTTTCCTTTCCTTGTAGCCAAATTGTGAATGTGATTTGAGGAGTACAACAAATCGATATATAGTTGACTTGCTTTTTTCATTATAGTTTTTTTTCGTTTTTTTTTATAATGAATTTAAAGATATTCTAAAATATAGCAAAAATTAATTTTTTTATTACAATTAGGAATTTTACTAAATATAAACTCTCAATCTATGGTGTTAATCAACGTTTAAGTCTAAAAAATTAGGAATTTTTACTTCTTTTAATCAACGTTTAAGTCTAAAAAATAATAGAGTTATTATAAGTTTTTTTTCTACATCTTTTAAAACATTAAATATGAGCATGTTAGGGCTAGCTTGTAAAATAATTAATATATTATCTCACTAAAACATTTATACTAAAATAAATTTAATTTTAGCATATAAATTTATCCCTTGATATAAGAGAAAGTAACAGTTTTACTTATTGTTGTTCACCATATAATATTTAATTATTATTTTGTTATATAATAAAAAAGAAATATTGTTAAATAGTGTAGTAGAATTGTTATAAAATTATATGATTTTTTTTTATTTTACAATATGGATTTAATATTTTTATGATTTGATAATATAAACAAATCTATACTTAACTTTTTGACAAATAAAACAAATAAATACTTTAGTAAGTATTTAATGTATATACTACATAGGAATATATTTGGTATAATCAAATACCAAATATAATCAAATAAGTCAAAGTGTACATTTTTATTTGGTATTTGATTTTTTTATTATTAAAATATTTTTATAATACTTACCTTTTTAAAATAAAACAAATAAATAAATCAATTAAATAAATAAAATATTATAATACCAAAATAGTAATGGCATTTAATGCAGTCGACTTTTCTGGATAGTAAATGTAGTAAATAAAATCTCCTTTTATATAAGTATAGATTGTATAATACGGAAATAGTAATGCAATAAATGTTGTTGACTTTCCTTTATACTAAATCTGGTAAATGGTATACCTTTTAATATAAGTATAGATTAGGCAACACAATTGCTATAAATAGTAAGTGTTTTAGTGGGTCCCTCATCATATTACTATTTATAGAAAGTTAGCTTCAACCTTTTTTTATTATTTTCTTAAACGTGTTCAATGTTCACCTTGCGTTAATTAATTTTTTTTATTTTTAAAAATAGTTTAATAGTTAAAATGGACCCAAATTTGTTGTCATTTATAGATAGGCGGTTTAAAATGTATTTTCTGTTTTAATTTCTCATAAATATCAAAGTAATTTTCTTTTTACATGTAAATAACATGTTGAATCACGCTGAATTATTTACGATGTGTATTAAATAATAATTTATATTTAAAGACTTCCTAAAAATATAAAGATACTAGATAATATTTTGGTACTTATTTACATAAAAGAATGGTTTACAAATAAATAAATTGTAATTACATGTATAGAAAATAATATTAATAAGTAAAATTACGTTATAAATTATAAAACCACTCAAGCTATTAGAAGGGATTTTTTCTTCTAAAAAATAATGTTTTTTTAACAAAAAAATAACTTGAGATTGGTCTTTATACCAGTAAAAAAAATGTTTAGAATGCTAATAGGATAAAAAAAACGAAAATATTAAAGCATAAAAAATTTAATGAAAGATCGTCCTACATATTAATAGTGCATAAATATATTTTCAGTTTTAATTAAGATAGTACCCGTGAAATCGTGGAGAAGTTGGAGTCCCACAACCACCACGATTTAGATAAACTAGCAAATTGAGTTTGCATATATGTTCACATGATACAACTGCTATATTTAAAACCTCAATTTTTAATTTCTATGATAATGATGTTAACGAGATAACATAACATAATATTGAGAAAAATAAACCAATTACACCATATAGTGGTTCTGGCACATAACATATAATATAATGAAGAAGTAAAGAGAAGGATCTTTATTGTTTAACTAGCAACAAAATTTTGAGAGAAAATCCATGAATTTTAAAGAGAGAGAGAGAGAGAGAGAGAGAGAACATATGTGCAAAGTTTTTAAGGACAAAAAAAAAAGAGAGAGAGAGAGAAGTTAACCATTATTATCGCTATAATATTGAAAATTATATACCATATAGAAAAAATTCAGCCTCAAATAAGATCTATTGATTTGTAATTTGTTAAAGAAAAAAAAGATATAGTCTATCTATTACATAAATTATTTATTATATCAACAAAATCACATATAATGTGTTTTTAAGAAATAATACCCAAAAAATTCAATAAACGTCCTAGTCAAATAAGTTAGCCATTTTTATAAAAAAAAAATGATACTATTTCTCAAATCTTGCATATAATGAGACAAACATGGATAAATCTCTTTTATATTGCAAAACTTTATTCGGAGAAAATTGCAAATTTGGTCCCAGAACTTTTGTTGTTTCCCACATTTGGTCACGGACACGCCAATTATGGTCCTTTTTGAATTTTCATTTTTAAAATGGTCCCACTCCGTCAAGACTTAACAGTACTGAGACCAAATGTGGGAAATAACAAAAGTTCTGGGACCAAATTTGTAATTTTCTCAAAGAGTAAGTGATAAAAATTATTTAAATTTATTTTTATTAGAAATATTTTTTTAAAAAGTTTTTCGTAAATGTTGAAAAGGTATATTACCATTCTTTCCTAGCAATACATTTAGTTTATTTTTTAATAAATTATAAAAGATAAATATAACTAACATACAATTCTTTCACATTTTTTTATTGTAAATTAAAGTTTAACTTGATTTTTTTTACATAAAATAATTATTTAATTGGGTAACTTAACAAAAGGTGTATAAAATAATTTTATTAATTAGTTCATGATAAATGAGATGCAAACAAAATATATGATATATTTTACTATAAATAAGAGGGAGCAAATGTCTATTTTCACTTAATTTAATGCCAAATTTTGTTTTATTATGCTTAAAATTGAATTTTTTTTATGTAGATGTAATTTGCATAAATAAATAGATTTTTCAATTTATAGTTGTCAAAATAAAATTAATAAATAAATAAAAAATTATTAAAATAAAAATAGACAATAATAAAAAAATAGTTTAGATTGGGTTTTTTTTAATTCGTATTATTTTATAAAGTTTGTAGGGATATATGTAAATTATCACATTATACTAATATTTAAAAGTGTAGACGGATTAGTATTATTGTAAGTATACTCACATTTTTTCTTATTTTAATAAATTGGATTATGTCTTTTGGTTTGCTTTATTTAATTAAAATAATATATTTTTAATTATTCCTTAATTTAAATAATATTCAAATAATTGTTAATTTTTTTTAAGTAATGACGGTAAAAATATTAGAAAATAAAATAAATACCACTCAATTAGCAATTATATAGTTTACTTTTCCACCCCAAATTAAAATTTATCAACGCTCTTACTTTTCCACCCAATAGTTATTTTTATAAAATTATTTTTAATATTTATTTCTGGCATCATATTCATAGTAAATTAATTTTATTATGTCATTTCGGCTTTGAGTGAATGAGAGAGACTTGAAGAACTCATTTTTCTTTCTTTTTTTTGAAAAATTGCAAAATTGGTCTCATTTAACGTCCTCATATGAGCCCCGTCAATCTTGAAGGACGTGGGACTATTTTCACAACAAAAATTCAAAAAGGAGCATAATTAGCGTGCCTGGACCAAATATGGGAAACAACAAAATTTTTGGGATCAAATTTGCAATTTTCTCACTTTATGCGCGAACTATGAAATTAGGTGCTTCATTTATGAATTTAAAAGGCATGCAATGGTCTTTTTCATTTAAAGAATGTCAAGCTCATTATTTGTTCATTTACATAAACTTTTACGTAAAAGACAGAAGATATTATTATATGATGAGAAATAAAATCTATTACTATATAATACGGAGAAGAAAAAATGTTTGAAAAAATATTTCAAATTCCCGCTTAAAAAACTGTTTTTCCCCCTTAAATTTAATTTGAATTTTTTCATTCCCTTTTTTTGCTATGGATTTCCCTTATCTACAACATGATTAGATTTCAAATCTTTTCAGTTCACATTACAATTCGATTTTAATTCGGGATTCAAAATTTGATTAGATTTTTTTTAAATATGTAAAAAAAAGAGAATCCCCTCTCTCTCTCTCTCTCTATATATATATATATATAAATTTGTGATGAGTTGAATTTTAAATTCAATATATATATATATACAAATTTGTGATGAGTTGAATTTTAAATTCAATTTAATATTAACAAATGTATATTTTATGTAAATAAAATTTAATAGAAAAACAAAATTAAAAAGATTGTGTGGTAACATTTTTCTAAATAAATAAATTATGGGAAGGTGATTTTGTTAGCAATAAATTCAAAGAATTTTG